CCGAAGTCCCGATACCTTTCAGCTCGAGTAACAAAACCGTTTTCAGTGCCTAGAAGACTGCAATGAAGTGAACGATATGAATGACAAGCTCGTGGAAACTGTCCATGCGGTCGGAGCTAAGTTCTGCAAGACCCGTCGCAGAAGAACACAAAAACTCTCCGATCACACTCTTAATGTCATGGCTGTTAGACGGGAGATGAGGCTACATTCTTCAACGGATTTGACAGCATTCAGGCAACTGAACAGACAGATCTCCAAACGCATGCGGCGGGACTTACGCAACTTCAATACTGCTGGTATTGAAGAAGCTATCGAGCGGAACCAAGGCTCCAAAGTCTTTGCCAGAGATCTGTGTGCCAGAAAGAGCCAACTGTCAAAGCTGAAGACAGAATGTGGCAGCATCGTTTCCGGAACACCTGAGATTTTGAGTGAGATTGAGAGGTTCTATGGGCAGCTGTACACGTGATTGTTGGAGCCACAGGCAAGTGTGAGTAACGATCCAAGAGCGAGTCTTATCCGACATTATTCCGATGATATCCCGGACGTCAGTCTGAGCGAGATTAGAATGGCTCTCCAGCACCTTAAAAACGACAAGGCCCCAGGCGAGGGTGGAATTACAGCGGAGCTTCTGAAAGCGGGTGGAAGACCGGTATTTGAAGTCCTTCATAGGCTCTTTAATTCCGTCCTCCATGGTGGCATTACACCGGAGGCGTGAAGCAGAAGTGCGGTGGTATTGTTCTTCAAGAAAGGTGACAACGCTCTCTTGAAGAACTACAGACCGATTTCCCTTCTGAGCCGCGTCTACGTGCTGTTTTCAAGAGTTATTACAAATATTCCCGCACGCAGACTTGACGACTTCCATCCTCCCGAACAAGCCGGTTTCCGAACAGCCTTTAGCACCATAGACCACATAAATACCCTTCAGTAAATTGTACAGAAGTCCGAGGAGTACAATTTGCCACTATGTCTGGCGTATGTGGACTATGAGAAAGCCTTTGATTTCGTCGAAATTTGGTCGGTGCTGCAGTCCCTTCAGCGGTGCCAAGTTGACTGTCGGTATATCGAAGTGCTGAAGTGTTTGTACAGTAGAGCTACGATGGCTATTTGAGTACAGAACCAGTGTACGAAACCCATGCAACTGCAGAAAGGTGTAAGACAGTGTGACGTTATATTCCCGAAACTCTTCACCGTTGCATTATAAGACGTTTTCAAGATACTAGACTGAAGAGGATACGGTATTAACATCGATGGCGAGTACATCACTTACCTTTAATTTGCCGAAGATATAGTTCTTATGGCAGAATCGCTGGAGGAACTAAGCACTATGCTCAATGAGAATTACCTCAATAGTATCTCCCAAGGGGTAATTCTTAAGATGAACATGGACAAAACAAAGTTCATGTGTAACTTCCATGTCACACCTATGCCGGTAGTTGTTGGGAGCGCTAAGCTCGAAGTTGTTGATGAGTATGTTTGCCTGGGACAAATAGTCCGACTTGGTAAGTCAAGTCAAACTTCGACCGAGAGGTCAATAGACAGATTCAACTCGGCTGGGCAGCGTTCGAGAAGCTACAACACATCTTCTCGTCAGACATAACTCAAAACCTTAAGACGAAATTGTACAACCAGTGCGTGTTGCCAGTGATGACTTATGGAACAAAGACGTGGTCCTTCACTGCTGGCCGTATGAGGAAGCTCAAGGTCGCTCAGCGAGCTATTGAGAGAGCTATGCTCGAAGTTTCCCTGCGTGATAAACTTAGGAATGAGGATATCCGCAGTAGAACCAAAGTAACCGACATAGCCCAACGGATTAGTAAGTTGAAGTGGCAGTGGGCCGGCCATATAGCTCGAAGAACCAACAACCGATGAGGAAGAAAGGTTCTCGAGTGGCAGCCTCGTACCGGTAGGCAAAGTGTAGGGCGACCCCCCACGAGATGGAGTGACGACCTAGTAAGACATGCAGTAAGTCGATGGATGCAGGTGGCTCAGGACCGAGCTTTGTGGCATTCCTTGGGGGAGGCCTATGTTCAGCAGTGGACTTATGAAAGGCTGTAATGATGATGATGATGATGATGATTGTCGTCTGTATTTGATAAGAGTGTAAATTTTCCAGTCAGTCGGCCGTCTACAGGTTGCTGAAAATTATATTAAAAACTTCTTTACATAGATTGATAAATAGATTCACGGGACGTTAATAAAAGCGTATTAAAATTAAAATAATGAATAACTTGTTTAAATTGTATTATTGAATAATATGTTTTAGAACAAAATATACAAAAGAAATTATCAAAGAATATAACGTACTTAAAACCTATTGGTTGGTAACATTGTTATTTATGAATATTTAGATACTTAAAATGGAACGGAAAATTTAGTTAAATTTAAAGTACTCACCCTTCAACATGGAACTCTTCGAAACGGTAATTTAAGCGTTTCCGCTTCATCTCAAACCGTTGAAAGATTTTTAACGGGTTAGAATATTAAAAATAAAATTTTAATTTGGATACTACTTCTCTTCAAGTTTCTGTTTCTATGTCTATCTATATTTTATCTATATTTTAACCGTTATTTCATTTTTAAAAGGAATGTTTGATCAATTGATTTAAGTTTTAATAGTGCATTTCTGTTGTTTTTATTGCTTTAATTGGAGGAGCATGGACAGCCATATTAATAAACGGGACCGTTTCAGTTACGCAAGTGATATAAAGTTACACGATTCTCGCTCGTCTTAATTTACCCTTGCCGGTGTAACGCTTGTGCTATAAGATTTTTATACGTGGTAAAGCCATGCGAACTAACCATGAAACTCTCTATAATCAACAAACCCCTAACGCTATCGATACCCTCTGTGCATTTCAATCCTGAAAATTTGTTTTTTCTCTTCAAGAGATAGTGAAGTGAACGGGTAAGGATGTTTAATTAGGAATATTTAGGTGTACTCTAGCGTGGCTATAGCAAATTCTTTTACTATAAATTTGTTTTTGCTATTTTGGAATCCTTGAAGATCTACGATTATTGTATTGCTATTCATGATATTTTCGTAACGATATTACTCAACGGTTTGTACTCAAATATACAATCGTTTAAAATCAAGCAATAAGCAGCTGTGTGATCAGGTATTTCTCGGTCTGTTTCGATTTCAACTCTCACGTCCATCAAACCTTTTAAAGTTTCATGCTGTCTTGAGCAATCAATTAAAATTATGGCGCTACGTCTTTTTTTAATAGGATATGGGTGACAAACGAGCACACAGTCCATCGGATGGTAAGTGGTTGCTGTGGCTCATAGACATCTACATCTATTCTCGATTACGAATCAAAATGCAGATGCGTTGTCACCCATGAGGGCTAAGATGGAGTGCCTCGTTTCCAGTAAAAAGTGTCTCCGGTTCTCTACACTCACCATACGAAACACAGCAGTGTTAAGTTGTGATACCCGAATTCTTAATTTTATCTATTTCTACAATATTAAGTTCGTATAGTATGTCTTGAAATAGAAATAGTGCTGGATTATTAACAAAATGTACGTTTGATACCTATACTTTCGTGGTGCTGTTATAAACGTTCACTTTCCCTCGATATATAAACTACTGAGTGAAGGTAGCACGTACAGGTTTTGCTGATTAACAGGAATACGTATTTCGTCATTCTTGTTAAAGCTAGTTACATATGGTTTGTATGAATGATACTCGAAACTTTCAATGCTGTTATCGTATGATGTTTGTTGTGATATGTTTAAAATATTCATTTTATCAAGCTTAAGAAATTCTTTGTTAGTCTTGGTAAGCTATTTTTTTTAGCTAAAAAGGTGTGCCTTTATGAGATGTTCTTTTAGAACTGACTTGGATACACGACGTAGGTGGGCTTTTATTGAAATTTATAATTTATTCCGGAAATGTAAATACAATTGTACTTATTCACCTCGTATATTTATCTCTTTATTCTCAGCTTCCAACAGCTTTATATTGATAGCACTTATAGAACTTTAATTAAAAGAAAAATAAATTAAGTTTTTAGATATTTCAATTATTCGATAAACAGGTAGTACTTTAGGTACAAATTATATGGCTTGCTTTCCCGTTGACAAATGAACCACTAACTACATCGCATTCCATCCGCACGATAGTTGTCGATAGAATGGTGACAGGATACTTTGATTCAATACGTATATTTGCTTTTTTTGTTTCCAAACCAAAGCCTAAAATTTTACCCAGTGATTCGCTTCTATTAAAGTGAACATTTTCAGAACAAAAAATATTTGTCTTCAATGTATTACTGTTACAAGTTAGTTTTAATACAGTGTTTTTAAGATTATTTTTTACATAATCACAAATATCTTGAAGCTCGTAAGACCCTTCAGGAATTTCGATCATTTTTTTTCACCACAATATAATTTATTGCTTCTTTCATCTATATTGGGAATAAAATTGAAAGTTGAAAAATGCAAAGGACCATATTCGTAGTCTCCTCTTAGTTCCAACGTCGGTGAACAGTTTTTTGATAAAGAGGCTCCTGTCCCAGTTATCGATACAGTGAAAGACATTTGTACACTGATACGTTTATTTATTTCATACACTATACAAATGCTTTTTCCAGTAATTCCTTAAAAGTTTAAGACAAAGATGATCACAGTTTGTAGCGCCAAACGCTTGATGTCATGCATAATCTTAGTTGATAAGTAGGTTATGCATATATTTAACTAATTCTAACGGTGGCTTGAAATTACCAAAATTGTCATAATATTCTACGTATTTATTGTGCTTTACAAAGGCCACCCAATGCGTTCCAGTATTTCTGTAGCTATCTAAATTCAATGTTCCAAAAGGTTTCAAAGGTATTTATTTCTCATGAAAACACCGCGAAAGTTGTTTATGTTGTTTATGAAGTTTAATATAATGGGTTTTTCAACAAGAACTTTGTTTTCTAAAACAAAATAAAACAAAGAGTTTAGATGAAGATGATTCAAATTTTTATTGTATTACGAAGAGAAAAGTTTGGCAATTATGAATGAAAAATGATATCTGACAAATGTCCACCACGACCACGCTGACAGATGTCGATTCTTTCATCAAAGTTTTTATTCACTTTTTGGCAAAATGGCGGGTCTATTTCGTTAATCACGTCACGGATTTTGAGTTTTAAGGCCGCGATCGATTCGATTGGCTCCGTATAGACTCTGTCCTTAACATAGCCCTACAAAAAATAATCCAGTGGTGTTAAATCACACGATCTGGCTGGCTGGATTTAACAGCTGAATTTCGTGAAATTATGCGATCGGGAAATTTGGTTTGCAATAAATTGATCGTTTCGTTGGCTGTGTGACATGTGGCACCGTCCTGTTGAAACCACATGTTTGTGATATCGATGTCATCAATAATAGGCCAAAATTGAGATGTTAACATCTCACGATAGCGTGATCCATTGACCGTTACCGCATTTCCAGCCTCATCTTCGAAAAAAAACGGCCCAATCACGCCTCCAGACCACATAGCGCACCATACAGTGACACGTTGAGCATGCAAAGGCTTCTCAATAATCGCTTTAGGATTTTCAAAAGACCAAATGCGGCAATTTTGCTTGTTGACGTACCCTGACAAGTGAAAATGGGCTTCGTCTGAAAAAATGATTTTTTCATAAAAACCAGCGGGCTGTTCCTGAATGAATTGAGCGAATCTACGGCGATGTGAATGGTCGGTCAGCTTCAATTCCTGCACCAGTTGAACCTTGTAAGGCTTCAAAGCCAAATCCTTACGCAAAATTCGCCATGTGGTGGTTTTGGATAACCCCAATTGTTGAGAACGTCGAGGAATTGACAAAGTTGGATCTTCTTCAACACTGTGGCTCACGGCTGCGATGTTTTCTGTTGAACGACCCGGTCGAACACGCGTTGGTGTTGGCGCATTTTGTACCGAGCCTGTCGATTCAAATTTAGCGACCAAATTCTTAATAGCGGTCTCAGAAGTACGATTATGTTGTCCGAAAATATCAGGAATTTTACGAAACGTAACTTTAACAGAACCACCATTTTCATAGTGGATTTTAATTATTTTAATGCGATTTTCGAGCAAAATTGAATTCATTGTAGCAATTGCCAAAGCATCTACTACGAATAGGTCAAAAAACTAAATGTCAAAACTGTCATGTTTTTGGTGTTGCCCCGATTGAAAAACAAAGTTCTTGTTGAAAAACCCTTTATACTCATTTTTCCTAGAGCAACAGCTTCCACCGCAAAACGTTGATCCTTGGGATATCTTAGGCTTTTGAGATTTCTTGATGTTTGACATAACTAAAATCGCATTTCAATCATTAACGTTGATAGGCTTGAATTTAGTAATGTGATGCAAAGTATTATTATACTGCTTTACTACCGAATCTAAATTATTTTGTAACCATTGACCGCATAGACTGAATATTTTGTAAAGGCGAGTCTTTAAAGTTCTTATCACTCGTTCCATAATGGAGGTTTTTTTAACGGGATCGTGGAATAATAATTTATATTATAATTTTTTATTAAACTCTTAAAAGAATCATTATAAAACTCTGTACCAAGATCTTTTTATAATTTTTTAGATTTTCGTCTCGATTCAGATAATAAACTGTGCATCACATTTTTGACATAATTTTTATGTTTCGATTTCAATGGTTTGAAAATCAATCAGGTCAGCTTGCCATAAATCATCTATTCCTTTAATAATTGTATGTTGACGAGAAAATTTTCTTCTTGCTGCTTTGTGAAGCTCATTGACAATATCTTGTTTACTCATTCTGTATAGGTTTCGCCGCAATAATGAGATCAATTTCCTTTTTCGTGTAATACAATGTACTGAAATTGATAGAAGTTATTTTCTCTAAATTGTTAAGGTACTTTTTGATATTGTTCTGAAATGTTTTCATTTCATTTTTAAGTTCATGAACCGACAACCAATGGGGAAGAAAGGTTCTCGAGGGGCAGCCTCGTACCGGTAGGCGAAGTGTAGGGCGTCCCCCCACGAGATGGAGTGACGACCTGGTAAGACATGCAGGAAGTCGATGGTTGCAGGTGGCTCAGGACCGTGCTTTGTGGCATTCTTTGGGGGAGGCCTATGTTCAGCAGTGGACTTGTGAAGGGTTGTAATGATGATGATGATGATGAACACATTTATCCACATGTTCTTTATTTACAGCCTCATCGTCTTTTTCAAAAGATTGTAGTCCTTTTAATCTTGTTCATTTCAAATCAAAGTCACCTGCGTCTGTTCTTACTAAAGTATCACTGAGAATATCAGTGCATTCAGAAAGTCGCAAACGCCTATGAACGTGATGACCAAATTTGTTTGTATTCATTGCCGTCTTATCAGCTTCTGTAATGAAATGGTATTGCGTAATCCTCCTGTAGGCAGCTTAATATATTTAATGTATTTTATCATGCCAGCTACACGCATTTCTTCGATTATTGCATAATTTTCATTATAAAACCCAGTGTTACCAGCTGCCCATGATCCAAGTAGTAGTTTTAATCATTCCACTAACTCCTTAGGATCGTTCCAGTAAACCAGATTAGTATCTTTTTTAATTTCTTTTAAAATATCAACTCCTTTTCCTTTCTAACTTTTATGATTTTTCGAGCACTTAAACAATGGTTTGACCATTCGTATATATTTAAATCCTTTGTTACTGTTAATTGATTTGGATGGATCACAACTACGTTTGTGTGCATTAATATCCAAAAGTAACAATAAATCTTCCTCTGTTACAAAATGTTAGGTTTTTAAACAATAACTCTTTTAAGCCTGGAGTTTTTTTTTAAACTATTACAATAAATTATTATAATAAAGTGATCTATATTTATATCATAATAATAAAAAGTTTTTCTGCGAGCGCTTATTTAATTACTGACTCTTTTTAGTGTAGTAATGTAACGAGTATGCCATCAAAAACATAACTTGTAAAAAGAACAAGTCTCGCAACTCAGTTCTTCTATCGTAAAAAGTTGTGAGATCCATGTAAAGTACCAAGTCGGTTAATTTATTCAGTCCCTACTTAAGGGTCCTTCTGTCTTAATTTATTACGTAATTAGCTAAATTAACAACATCTTATAGTTTTCTGCAAGCCCTGCAGCTTCCATGTTAAACATTATTCCTCTCACCAAAAGTCCTATATTCACAAATCTAACTACTTACTACAAAACAAGTTTGACAAATGTTGAAATATATTCCTGAAAAATTTTTAAATAAAATTTACTATTTCACCTGAAATTTTCTTGTCTGACATTTCGCACACATCTCTTCAACTAATTAAACAAATGTTGAAGAAACATACAACATTAAAAATTAATTTTAAACTGTTTCTTACATAGTATACTTTACCAAAGAACAATGAATAATCTATTAAAATTTTTAATACTAAAAATGAAATTACGAGTATATACCAAAACACCGATCTAAGAGTATTATTTGTTTACATGGTTTTGTAGAAAAAATTACAAACAAGTGTTTGGAATTCGAGCTTTGCGAATTAGGTTGGACTATTGAGTCCATAAAACAATTAGAACTAAATATTGTAAATTATAATCCATTAAGATTTGGTTCTTATACACTATTACCCGAAAAAGTACACAAAACATAATCATGCTTAAATTTAAAAAAAAAAACAATTATAACCACTGCTTTCTATGGAGTATTGTAGCTTATTTGTATCCCAATACAAGTAATCCTAATAGAGTGAATTCATACCCTCATTACTCAGAAGTTTTAATAACAGATAATATATTTCCTCCAAGTTTTAATGATATTAAATTATTCGAGGAAATGAATCCTAATGTGAGCGTTAATATTTATGGCTTAGATAAAAAAATGTGATTGGACTGTTGTATAAAACATTGAAAAGAAAGATATTATGGTCTAATGAAAACTTTCGGAAGAGTATGTGTAGAATTAGATCAAATAATAAACGTATTAGAATAAAGAAAAAAGTTGATAAACTTGTACTTTATATAAATGATGACAAAAGATAAATTATGGCAGGTGGTTACAATACCTTAGCGTGGGGTGTCCCCCATAAAACTGTATTTTAATGAATTTGTATGTAAAACTATGTAATGCTACTATGTACTGTATAAGTAAGTAAGAGATAAGTGTATAACTTAAATTACATGTATTATTACGTTTATAACTATATATTTAGTTTTAATAAATACATTCGTTGTTGTCAACAATAAATGTCTTTTTTTTCGCTCTACATAATAAAATAATGATGTTACATAATAAAACAGCAAAAAAAAAATTCAATATATCATAACTTTTATTATATTTCACAAGCTACATTACTTAAATAACCAGTTCTTACAAAATTTTTCACCTATTTCTTTTATAAGACAATTTGTAGCATCTAACACTTCATCATACATTGAATCCGTGACATATTGAACACATATTTGCACTATGGTCGTTGATGACATTTTCTTCTTGCTCATTAAGTTCGTAACTGTTGATTTTAATTAGACGATGATGACCTCCTTTATCTTTATCTTGATGGATAATGTATGATGATGATGATGATTCTTGCGAACGGTTTCTCTTCCTGGAACATTTCTTTGGTTTCGAATGTCGCTCTTCATTTATAGCTATTCTATTTGTTGGTAAATGAAGCCACTCCTCTTGGTTGTAATAATTTAGTACAAATTTATCCACATCTTGAGCATAGTAATACGGATTAGTGATGGCATTAGAATCAATGTTTCTTCAGTGAGAGAATTGAGGCACGACCGAAGCTGGAAGAAGTGACACAGGAGCCGCAATTCTATCCTACTGTCAGACCTTGATGAAATTTATGTGGCACCACATGAGAAGCACCAGCTTTCAAACAAAAAAAAAAGAACCATCGAAATTGGTTCATGCAGAAAAAAGGAATGAGGTAACACACATAAAAAAGATCATATAGTCAAATCCTCTTTTTTGAAGTCGTTAGAAAAGATGACAGCAGCCGCAGTTATAGCGCTGCTAGAAGAAGGTTACGTGTCTGCTAAGATAGGACCTTAGAACGGAAAAAAAAATTTCACATATAAAAAATTTATGAAATGATTTTAAAGTCAAACACGGAACAATTATTCGTAATCTAGTCCGAAAACTAAGTAATAACACCGGCGAAGTCAATTTCAAAAATTTTTATTTTTGTAATTGACTTCGCCGGCGTTTGACCTTAGGATCCGCGACTTAATAGCTAGGCGCTTAAGGTACTTCAGTACTTAAGCAACTTAAGCTAAAGAAATATTTTGTGCATAAATAATTTATGATAATATATTTATTCAAATGTTTTTATAGATAGTGATTTTTAGTATATAAAATTACCCGAATAACATTTACATAGGCACTTGTGTTCAACAAATTAAAAACATTAACTTTATAGTTACAAATGTACTAATTTGTAAGAAGGGGGTTTTCTCGCTATCAGTATACCATCAACAAATAAAGCCTGGCTAGTAGCTATGAATTATCTACATCAAAAATAAAGCTGATTTTAATTTTTTTATCATAAAATTATTTTAATTTTGTTTCGACTGTAACTAACTCTAAATTTGATTAATGTTCGGTGGAAATATAACAGAAATATAAGTCTGCAATTTATTCACCGCCAATACATAATGTATCCGTATTCCGTAGGGCTTACGGAAACTGTGCAGCTTTAAGCTTTAGGAGTCCGACATAAGTGGAGCTCGTTACTGCGTCCCATTTCTATGTAACATCTGCCTCCGAACCACACTCGAGAGAACTACACTACGTATTCAGCGTTAATGTTTCTTTTTAAAGTTAAAAATTGTGGCAAATTTTGAAGCATAGATTGTTTCATGTCATGATGATTTTTAAGAGTTACTTAATCTTTATTATGATGTAGATGAAGTTACGACTTTATAAGATATGTAGGAAGTCGATAAATGCAGGTGGCTCAGGACCGTGTTTTATGGCATACCTTGCAGGAGGCCTAGTATCAGGAGTAATCTTCTGATGGACTGTAATGGTAATAATGAAAATGCTAATGTCATGTGATATTTAAAAAGTAAAGTTTGATTTATCCTTTTCCAAAATTGTTTTAGAGCGTAGTCTTT